ATAGCGCAAATAGTACGCTTTAGCATGACCTTTCCGTACACCCTATGTTCAAACTTTTCCAAATTGTGTTCAAATTTTTCAAGACAAGAAATTTCAAGAGTCTTGCAAGACAAGACAAGACTTTGCCATTCAAGAAATCTGCAAGACAAGACTTTGAAAATTTCTTGTCTTGAATTTCAAGACAAGACAAGAAATTGATTTTCAAGACAAGAATTCTTGTCTTGTGCAACCCTAGAAGAGACAGTGTCCAGCTAAAAATCATGTGACAATCCGAAGATTGTTCTTACTTAAATCAAGAAAAATCTTTGATGATTTTTCTCGGTCGTAAGTTCTGAGGAACTTTTTCGGGCTCAAGTTTCGTTTAGCCGAAATCAGTTACATAGAATATCGGTTTATAGGATGATTCTATACAAGAAAACTAGCACTACATAATTTGATTTTTGCCGCGGAAATTCTTTGTTTTTGAGAAAACTCCAATTTTTTATTTTTCTATTATTAACTAAAATTTAAAATTTTACGGTGCTTTTAATAGTTTTTTTCATTATAGAATGACGTAAAAACATTTAATATAAAGACGTGAACTAATTTTTTTCGAAAATATATTTTTATCACAATAATTTTCATTGATTTTTCCGGGTTTAGAAGTGCCTAAATGTGATAGGAAGATAAAAATTACATATTTTTGTTTGATTAATAATTTGCTATAACTTTTCTATATAACTATTTCCGCGGAAATTTATCATAAGGGCGGTGTAATAGAAAATCTTCAATATTTTCCATAGTATTCTATAGTATTCTCATGAAGTTTTTCATAGTATTCTCAACTTTTTTGCATACTTTCGGTTTGGTTTCGTTTGGTTGTAGTTGGTTTTGTTGTAGTGGGTTTATTTGTTTTGGTTTGATTTGGTTGTTTTTTTAGGGTTTGGTTTGGTTTAGTTGTCGTTTTTATGCTTTATTGACAATTTTTTTTTTATTTTCGCATTTATTGACCATAGCGATATTAAGTTGATAAGAATAGATATTATTCATTGATCTGTGTCAAAGGTCGGGAAGAAGAACACTGCATAGTGGTGAAACAAGGCATTTCCGCGGATTTTCATTTTTGTATCGGTGCTTAAAAATAAGTCTACAATATAAAATAATATAATTTTTTATTTATCTCATTTCGTTACTTCTAAACCGTATTCAAAAAAATGGCAACAGAGCATTTCCGCGGAATTTTATTTTCGTATTAGTATTTACAAAGACGTCTAAAATATGAAATAATATTAATTTTTCATGTATGTCATTTCGTTACTTTTAAACCGCATTCAAAAAATGGTGACGCATTTCCGCGGCAAAATTTTTTCAGTAATATACTCCCTGAGGTACCTAAATGGCAAAAAAAAGTTTTTTTCTTTTTTAACAGATTTCGGCTAAACGAAACTTGACCCCTTTTTCGAGTGTCTTAGAGCGTTTGAGGTTTCCCATTCCATGATACGGATGGAGTCCTCCAGGTTCTTCAGTTCCGCTTTCAGCTGGTTTCCGCTTGGAAAGCAGAACGGTTCTGGTCCGGTTAGCAGAGTTTTTGTCTGTTTTTTTTTGTTCTGGTATAGCCGTTTGCTTTTTTGTCATCTGGGCTGGCACACAGAGTAGGAGGATTTTATTTTCTTTGCTGTAAATTAGATCTCTAAAAACTTTTATTTAAGAGTCTATTACGCTGTACTGTTCGGGTCACTCTCAGGGGCCTGATAAAGCGGGTGTGTGGCCGAAGAAAATATATATTATATTTCAGTAATCTGCCTAAGATTTAGCCCGATCCTATCGTGTTAAGCCACACCTAAAATTCCAAACACAAGTCCTTTAATTAAGGCTTGATTAAGGCCTTGATTAATATTTGCAGAGCTTCAGCATTTGCCGTAAAATAGCGAGCAATTACACAACCATACAAATTATATATCACTGTAATCACAAAACTTCAATCTTCAATCTTGTAACGAAATTTTAAATTGTGCCTTTATTTTCGAGAAAATTTAATCCAAACATAAGGAATATTTTGTTGATGTTTGACCATCAAAATCTTAAAAATAAAGAAGTTGTCTAAAAATGTGCTACAATACGGATATAGCAAAATCCTTTATCTTTAATTTCCTTCTTCATTTGCGTAAAAATACCTAGCCAGTTTTATATAAAGCGTTAAATGCTGAACGCTCATTTTGCGACTTTTTGGGACACTAGTTTTCCATTTGTCCAAAAGTCCATTTCACTAGAAATGGACTTTTAAACGGTTGTATACATAAAAACCCCTGTATATCTGATATGTAAGTATGTATGTTGGATTTTGGTTAAACCCTACAGCTGTAATTTCATAATTCTATTTATGAATATTTAATTTCTTTTATTAAGGGGTTTGCATATATTTATTAGATCGTTGTTGTACGGAGAATATTATAACATGCAAATTTTTAGTACATCAACGCTCCATGCTTTTTTACCCCATTATTACTGCTTGCACGTGTATGCCTTTATAATAAAATTTAAAATTTAATAAATGTAAATGTAAAAGTAAAATATTACGTGCACCAAAATCCTATAAATCGAAGTAGACCTTCTCTCAGAATTTTTTATCTTTCATATTTTACAAAAAAAATATAACAAATAATATAAAAAATAGAGATATTAAATATTTTATTATAGTTAATATATGTTTTACATTATCTGCTTTGCTATACTGGTTGTAACTCTTTTAATTTAGAAAAATATGTAAATAAAAATGTCCAAAAATTGATTTTGTAGAAATTTCAGTTGTACGAACAATGTTTATACAGGTATTTTCCCATTTTGTGTGAAAGTTTTTTTCTTGTTATATTATCGTTGTCTCTATTTATATTTATATTTTTCCGAAAGTTATGTATTCTTGGCTTGTGGTCATCGTTTAACACATGTGTTAAATCTTATGAAATGAAAATAAATAGCTCTAAACTTATTAATATGTACCCTATAGCTAAGTACTATAAGATCTAAGTACATAAAAACAACCACAAATTTTTATAATTATATACATATTGCTCAGCTGCTATTGCTATTGTTATTTTTCAGTTGGATAAAATATATAGTCATTTATGTCATGTAACTTGGGGTGTTCTATTTGTACTTATATACTACCCATTATACTAGTGTTTTTTTTTTCTGTCGCAATATTTTTTAAAATAATTGTTGACATGTAAGAACACTATGTATACTTTTAATTAATTTGATTTATTATTTATGATATTGTTCGCTCCAATTAAACATTTTGTGCCCTAATTAAACACTTAAAGTGTGTTCATGTCGAAAATTATTTGAAAAAAATTTTGTGAATGAATTAATAGCATAATAAGATCCTTAAGATATAAAACGGCATTGGCGATAGCTATGAAATGAAGATCGCTGTCATTTTATATGTAAAATCATCGATCATCATTTCCAAGCCAACTGGACACCGTTTTTTTTATCATACGGTATTTTAAATCGACTATACGATCCTTTCCACAGATCCTTTCTCCTCACGCTGTTCACTGAGTACTTCTTTACACCAGACACCAGGTAGCGCCCTTGTATAATAAAATGTAAATGTCGATAAAATGCCCTTCTATATCTCTGATAAAATGTCTATATATTGTAAGTTGCCTATCTTTTTTATAATATAAATCTGATATAAATCATTACCTATGGGTAAACTAGAGCTTTGCTAAAGCCTATCTTATTTTTAAGAACTACTTTGTTTATGCGGAATCTGAACTGCGATCCTCAGCCAAACAAATAAAAATATTCCTTTCTCGCGAGTACTTAAAATAGCGCCATTGGTATACCGCGCAATTTTATCCCTCTATCTTACAAGATATCCAATCTCATCCAGATTAAAATGTATATGAATATAAAAGTGTGTCTTCCAAGAATTAAAAGGCCGGACAGTCCTAACAGCTTAGGCCTTTAAATTAATTACAGATAAATACTTAAAAGAAGATTATATGGTTGAAATCTGTGGACATCAGTTATTTATTTATTCTATGGTGGACACTTTTAAAATAAAGAAAACAAAACTAAAGCTACATTCTAAATCAATTCGCTGGCCGAGTCGTACTTTGGCACGCAAGCTTATCTTATGTACTTCATTCACAACAAAATTCGACGCCAGAGTGCAAGTTGAAGTTGGATTGAAAGCTTGCAAGCTGCAAACTTCCACTTCAGCACGGAATTTTCGTTTGACAATTATGACAAATTTGACATTTAAATTTTAATAATTATTTTGTTTGTGTCGTTGTTACAAGCCATTTTCCTGTGAAAAGTAAATAAGTATTAAAAGAAAAATGAGTGAAGGACGCTATTCTTATTTTATTAGGACTTGTGGCTTTGCTGTTAAAAAAAACGGCAATTATTGTTGCAGCTCAATAATTAGCTTGACCGAAAACCAAGGGGTTTACCAAAACCCAAAAAATGGGGTGTCCGACCCATATTAATGGCGAGAAAAAGTTTTGGGTGCTTGAGACACATTTTAGAAAAAAATCATCAATAAATGACGTTTTTGTTTCCATTTTTCTAAACATAAAAACTTGGAAAACTTAATTAACAACTGTCCCGGATTTTGACTCTTCCAAAATCAAAACCAACAACTAACCTAAAAAATGTCAGGAGAACATAGACTTAAAATAAAATTATTTTAAGTCTATGCAGGAGAACGTTTAAACACGCATGCGCAAAATTCGAATTGAAATTTGTTGTGAATGGTTAATTTCGTGCCGACTTTAACGTCGAAGTGCCACTCGGCCAGCGAATTGATTTGGAATGTAGCTTAATGTATTTAAAAGTCAACAGGCTGGATAGTCCGAGTAGCTTAGGCCTTTAAATTAATTAGAAAAAAAGAAGATAACCCTGGCAGCTCAGGCCATAAAACTAACTAGAAGAATCATGTAGTAAAAGCCATCAAAAAAATAAGAAGAGTATATTTCGGCCCTCTAGTGTTCAAAAATTAAACTACTTCTTTTTGGTTCCTATATGTCATAGGAAAAGGTTTGTGTTATTTTTTAAAATATTAAAATCTAGAATCATCTTAAAAATAACAGTGTTTTAATGTTTCATTTTCGAAATATAATTATTGAAAATGCTTCGTCCCGTAACAGCAATCGAGATTTTCTTTATTTTTGTTCAAATAATCTGAAATGTTGATACTGTGTTGTTGGGTTATGTGTCAAGAAAGTGCATTTTCTTATTTTATAAAGTTTTGTATTAGTCCTTATTCATATTAAGTTTTTCATTTGCTTTTTAGAACAATGAAGACGATTGTTACAAACCAGACGGTGAAAATCCCTGAAGGGATTACCGTTCATGCAAAAAGCCGTATCATAACTGTGAAGGGACCTAGAGGAGTCTTGAAACGGTCATTCAAACATTTAGCTTTGGATATTCGAATGATCAGTCCCCGTGTTTTGAAAGTGGAGAAATGGTTTGGCAGAAAGAAGGAAATCGCCGCTGTAAGAACTGTATGCTCTCACGTAGAAAATATGTTAAAGGGAGTAACAAAAGGTTATCAGTACAAAATGAGGGCTGTATATGCTCATTTTCCCATTAACTGTGTCACCACAGAAAACAATTCAGTAATAGAAATCAGGAATTTCTTAGGAGAAAAATATATTAGAAGGTAAGATGTCTTCTTTTTACTGTGATTTAGTTTAAGATGGATGACTTTTTAGGGTAAGAATGTCCCCAGGAGTAACAGTAAAGAACTCCACTGCCCAAAAAGACGAGTTGATCATTGAAGGAAACTCTTTGGAAGATGTTTCTAAATCAGCCGCTTTAATCCAACAATCGACTACAGTTAAAGACAAGGATATTCGTAAATTTTTGGACGGCCTCTACGTTTCAGAAAAAACAACTGTAGTTCAAGATGAAGCATAAGGTTTAATAAATTTGTATATTTAAAACAAAACATCTTTAATTTGTAACCTTTAATTTTATAAATACCTACACACTTTGAAACTCAAATAAATTTGGTTTATTAAAGTTTGAATAATTTTCTCTTGCATTGAATTTATATACATGTTGCTAAGTTGCATAAAAACTACAGACATCTATTTCATATAACTTGGTGTGTTCTATTTGAAATGGAGCAAAATACAGCTTCAAGTTTTGACACACTCACAATATGTGTTTCAGTATACTTAGTTTTGAACAAAACATTATCATAAAATATTTTCCAATTAAAAGAATTAAATTGATATATTTTATAATTAATACAGTTTGTCTCCGGAGTGTCTTTACAAGTGGAAAAACTTTTTTATTGGCATTTTGAGAAAATGCTTTCTTCATAATCATTTTTGCTTGTTCTTAATCCCGTTTTTTTCCATACCATTTTAAGAAAAACATGAAAATATGGTCGACTATTACCTAAAGTAAAGTCCTTAAAAATCAAAACGCGTTTTAACTTCGTTTTCCTTGTTTGATAGATTTTTATTCATAGAATTTTAATTAACATCATCTTTTTTGTTGTTTTAAAATATTGAAGCACAAAATTAATTTAGTTCAATGCTGTGGTGATGATAGTTATTAGAAAATTGATACTTTAACGACAGCAAAGAATATGACATTAAACAAAATTAATAATAACCATTTACAAAGAATGAAATCGAATTGCTACAAAAACACCTTCTGATTTTTAGGACTTGTGAGAAGATTGAACTGAAAAACTCTAAAGACCCTGACCCTGAGCTTTTTTGAAACTGTGCTTGGTATATTCAGGGTGGTCCAAAACTATAGATATATTTTCGCCACAATTTCAAGTAAAGGCTTTTATATTTTATATATAATAACAAAAAACAATTGAATACTAAGTTAAGAACTTTTTGTAACGAAAAACAATTATTTAAGTACTTTTCTTATTTTAAAAATATAATTTGTTTTTCCCTTTTTTTTTTGGAAGTGTTGAAGTGAAAGAAATTTATTAAAAACAACAACATAATGTAATAAATACCGGAAGAAGTGTTAAAATGAAAGAGATTTATTAAAAAAGTAAAATTTATTTCAAAACAAAATAACGTAATAAATACAATAAATAATTTATAATCAAAATAAAATTTATATAGCTTCTTTCTTTATATATACAAAACATATATAAATTCAACAGTTTTTATAACTTCTAGAAATAGTCCTGAGAGTTTATTATAGTATATTAACATTGTTAAATATACCAAATAATATTGGCTTAGTATGTTTAACATAACTTAAAAAGAATGACTAAAGTATATTATTTTTATCCAGTCACAATATTAATCTTAATTATCACATTTATAAACAATTACCAAATCTCTATTAGCTTGCCTCGCATTCCTCTTTTTTAATTTCAATAACTGGATCAATCAATGAATTATTTGTGTCCTCATCTTTTTCCATCTTGATTTTCAAATTTGGAATGAAAGAATCCGCCTCGCACATTGCTTCCCGTTTAATATGTAATTTTAGTTTCCTTACATTGGGGGTTAAATCACACTCCTCTTTGAATTGAGGAAAAAACTGGGGATGCATCTCCCTCACGTGACTATACAGTAATTTGCTAATAGAAAAGGTCTCTTGGCACAGACTACAACCAAACGGCTTTTCGTGTGTATGGACCATTCTGATATGTTCCTTAGCTGTTGTACTAAAATATGAAAATAAATAAGGAATACATGATGCAAAGTGACTATTATTGTACCTATGAGCAAATCTTTTATTACAGTAGGTGCAGGGAAACGGTTTTTCGCCTGTATGTGTTCTTGTATGTCGATTTAGATTTCCCAATGTATGGAATGCCCTCATACAAGTACCACATCTAAAAATTGATATCTAATAAATTAATGCAATATGAAGGGTTAAGGAAAAATACAACAATGTTCATTTTATAACAAATAATATTTATAACGCCTAGGTATAAAAATATAGATAAATGAAACAAATTTAGATTGAAAAGTGCCCATAAGGACAATGTAAATACTATTTGGCGCTATTCTTGCAACGGTCGCGACCCAAAGCTTTTGATAATTTCAGATAGGTTCAACTTTTTCCGGAATTATGTCGCCAAATATTGTTTATTCAAATTTATTATTATTTTCTTTTAATTTTATAAATAAAATACAGTCAGTGACATATAAAAACTGTATTTTATATAAGGACATTTGACATGTATCATGTATGAAATACCGTATGATCGAATAAAAACGGCGTCAGCGATGGCTATGAAATGAAGATCGCTGACATTTTATATGTAAAATTATATGGGGATCGTCATTTCATAGCCATCGCTGACGCCGTTTTTATTCGATCATACTATGAAACATTGGAAACCGACATTATGCCGCGATCCACGATGGTTTTTGCAGTTCACAACACAGCTTTCTAGTTTTTAGTGCCACTTTTTCACAAATATCACGGGTTTGAGTAAATAAAATTTAAATTAAACTCACAAGATAGCAATAATTACTTTGAGAATGGACGCTTTAAATACATTTCGGTATTTTTTCAACGAGGGCGGTTTAAATTTTGAAAGATTTTATAATTTCTGACTTTGACAAGAGAAAATTATTTCTGTTATTGTTTGGCGGTTGTTCTTAGCAACGGCTATAGCAGCGGCTGATCGCCGTACAATATAATAATGTATCTATGGCATAAAAAGTACGAGAGCTAGCAACGTCGGAAAAACAAGTATTTTAAGACTGGCTCTTTGATATATCTTTTACTATACTCTCTAGAACAGCATGCGGCCCGTCTGGCGCAAAACGTTGCGTTCCCTACTGCGCATTGAAAGAAGATCATATATTTTTATTAGTCCTTTAAATTCTAGTATTGAATATAAATCGAACATATCTCCATAGCGCAGTGCGTAGAGTTTCCGACCACGAACCGAGGATTCAGAGTTCGAATCCGGGTCAGGGCAAGGACTTTTTTATTTTCTATGGAGACATGTTCGATTTATATTCAATACTAGAATTTATAGGAATAAATTTAAAAAAAATAGGATCTTCTTCCGATGCGCAGTAGTAAAGGCAACGGGTATCGGCAGCCAGATGGGCCGCATGCTGTTCCAGAGAGCATAGTAAAAGATATATCAAAGAGCCAGACGTCTTAAAATACTTTCTCGAAAACGTTGCTAGCTCTTAGACAAAAAGAAAAGCATTTTTACGCCTAAGCATAAAAGTACAAAAATATATTATTAAACTGACATACAGTGTCAAATTCAACGAGCGTAACCATAGTTTCTCAATACATAATTGCCTACAAGGTATGATTTTTAAATCTTTTTATATTATTCGGAACGTTTGAAATTGTTTAAAAACTTATTTGGTGGCGTTTAAAAAAATAGCATGTTCTATTCGAGGTAAAAATGACTTTTTGAGCCTCGGCTATATGTCAAGAAAGTGTAATTTTTACTCCTAATAAAATAAAGCAATATAGGTACTATTATAGTTGACACAGCTAGAGAGACACAATAGAAAGATAATATTACCGAAATGGTTTTTCTCCAGTATGTGTCATGAGATGACGTCTTAGATTTTGTACTGATGGAAATGGCCGGCTGCAAACACTACAGATAAAGGGTCTGATTCCTAAAAATTTCGATAAAGTAGACTTAAGTAAGGAAAGTCTGTCAAGCGAGAGAAGGGACGATTCTGGACAGATGACAGAAATAAACACTGTGACATCTGTCACTGTCATCTTTTCTCTCACTAGTCGGATTATAAATGACATTTTTCTCACCAGCATGGGTATCTACATGTCTCCTTAAATGATAAGAATTCGTGAAAGCCTTTTCGCAAAGATGACATTCGTAATTTCTAGGAGCGTCATGGCTTTTTTCATGTTTTACCAGGAGCATGTACGTTGGAAATTCTTTACCACACAAGTGGCATTTGTAATAGGAATTTGCTTGTAACGCGTGCGAAGCTAAATGACCTGTAGAAAACAACTTTGTAACTGTCTGAAATTATACGGTAGAATTTAATAACCTTTTAGCTGTCTTGACGTCCGGAACATTAAGGTACATTGTGGGCAACGAACACTATTTATCGTTGGAATATTCGTTGGAATAATATTATTATCCATATGAATTCTGCTATGGTGATGCAATCTGGATTTTGTTTTGAACGCAGTATGGCACACATTGCAAGGATAAGGTCTCTCCTCTATTATGACAAAATTACAATTATTTTTTATTAAAATTAAAAATATTAATAGTTTTCACTTTACTGTACAGGGTGGTCGAAATTGGTATGTTTTAACAGAGAAAACCTATTTCCTGACTAGATAGAGCAAAACCGACATAGACGTCATGGGCTCGATTTCTGAAACACATTTAATGGCGTAAACCGCCTGTTGACATTTTCACTGCCAACTGAGATACAGGGTCTTTTTGAATTTTTTACCATTTGGAAAATTGCCCATAACTTTTGTATTTCACGATATAATAAAATTATGTTGTTAAAATGTTCTTTAGGCACTTTTTTAAGCAACATCCAGTGGCGTAGTCAGTTTTTTTTCTATACTTTCTCTATTTGTCAGAAATAATAAAAAATATAATTTTTTAAATGGAAATCATAGCTGGCTATGAACTTAAAAAAATGCTGGCGTTTAACCCTTTCCAACTATATAAAGTTACGTGTATTTATTTCTAAGAATGAGAGAAATTTTTTTTTTATCTTTGTACCGAAGCAGGCCTGATTTTGTGTTGACCTAGTTGCCTAATTATTTTTTATCACAATTTAATATTCTTTATTATTATTTATCTGCACAATTAAAGACTTTTGAAAAGGTAAATGAATATTCTATATTAGTATTACCATTTACAATTAAAACACCAGGGTTACAACTGCACTATTAAATGGAAAATTTAGAGAGAATTGGATTAGAACATGGGGTCCCATGTCTTGAACTACGAGGTCCTGTGATTTAACTTTTTTCGAATTTTTTATGGGGGAAATTAAAACACCCTATATAAGGAAAGAGCCATTGGGATGAGAGAAAAATTACAGAAGGCTACTAGGCAACCTTTTGGACCTGTTACACGAGTTAGAATAAATCGTTGTAACTCTGTGCGCAAAAGATGTTTATTGTGTATTCAACAAGGAGGTGCTAAGTTTGAACATCTGATGATTTTTTTTTAGAAAACTATATTAGTCACTGAAAAAATAGTGTTTTTTAGTTTTGTTCTTTGTTTATTGTATCAATTTCAATTGTAATTACTAATACTAATATAGAATGTTAATTTACCTTTTCAAAAGTCTTTAATTATGCAGATAAATAATAATATAGAATATTAAATTGTGATAAAAAATAATTAGGAAAATACGTCAACACAAAATCAAGGCCCGCTTCGATATAAAGATAAAAAACCCCTAATATTTCTCTCATTCATAGAAATAGATACCCATAACTTTATATCGTTGGAAAGGGTTAAAAGCCAGTATTTTTTAAGTTCATAGCCAAATACGATTTCCATTTAAAAAATTATATTTTTCATTATTTCTGATAAAAAGAGCAAGCAGAGAAAAAAGTTGACCACGCCACTGGATTGTGCTTAAAAAAGTGCCTTAAGAACGTTTTCACAGAATTTTATTATTCCGCGAAATAAAAATGTTATGGACAATTTTCTAAATGGCAAAAAATTCAAAAAGACCCCCTATCTCAGTTGGCAGTGAAAATATCAACAGGCGGTTTACACCATTAAACGTGTCTCAGAAATTGAGCCCATGACATCTATGTCGGTTTTGCTCTATCTAGTCGGGAAATAGGTTTTCACTATTAAAACAGACGAATTTCGACCACCCTGTACCTTTTTTGAAAGTTAATAAAGATTGTCCAGAGATAGTGAGAATGAGAACTTACTACCAGTAAATACATTTCATAATACTACTTAAGAAGAACGATATTAAGCAATTTTACAAAGAAATACCTGTGTGAGTTAGGAGATGATCTTCTAAGTGGGCAAACTGAGTAAATTTTTTTCCACACACCAAACATTCAAAACGTTTCTCTCCTACAAAATATTGTAATAATATTTTATATTAATCACTATAATAAAAAATATTTTATCATAGAATTGTTTGTTTTAATGAAGAAAATCAGTGTAAAAGTGTTTTATACCTGTATGTATTCTCATATGTTTATTTAAATTTCCATTTACTGTAAACTTTTTTTCGCATATATGACATTCATATGGTTTCTCTCCTGTATGCTTTCTTACATGAACTTTTAGCTGGGTATTGTCTCGAAAAACTTTATTGCAGTTGCAACATGCGAATCTATAAAATACTATTAACTAAAAGAATATCTACAAATATTTCATTGATTTAATTACTTTTTCTCACTAAGTCTCCTACAACTGTAGTGTAGATTCAATTCATCTTCATCTGAAAATGTCTTCTGACAGACATTGCATTTTGCATCTTCTCCACTTGACGACATGTTTTCGTCCTCCTCATCAGAATCTTCAAATTCTTGTTTAAATTCATCCTGTTGAAGATTTATATTAACAAATACAGTTTAGTAATATAGGAAAAAAGTCACCTTAAGTTTATTGTAGTTTTGTTGTTTTATATAGAAAGAATTTTTAAAAAACTCTTTTACAAATTCATCGTTACTAGTATAGTGCTCACTATTATAGTTCTTTGGTTTTGATAGATCCATTTGGTTTCCAGTTTCATTTGCTGCGCACAAAATACTGTTATTACAAAGGAACATATTGCAAAAGTTACTTAAGTACCTTCAAAATGTGAACCCTGTAGAACGATAGATTGTGGCGTATCTTGCTCTAAATTTTCTATATATTCTGTTTTTTCTGTTTTAACTAATGGTGGATTACATTTCAGTAAATTGGAATTATTGTAAATTTTTATTGTGCGATTCGTTTCGATCTGTATTCCAGCCATCTCTTCTATTACTATAGAATAAGAAATTCTAATAAAACCACTTTAAAAAAAATACAATGACATTTAAATAATTTAATTGATTTGACAAATTGGACAATCTCGACAAGTTAACCTTACTTTTTTATATTTCTTTAAAAATGTCCATAAAAAATGTTTAGACAGGTGTATATCTGGTTGCCAGCCAGTGTAGCCAAAAAAATGATTTTTTTTAAATTACAGCTTATGTAATAATCAGAAAGTTATATATTATATTTGCTGGAAAATTAAGAACACAGATTAAGAATATGCTCTAGACTTCGGTGGCAGATATTTTCCAATTTTTTTACTCTTATGTATTTTTTTAGAAAATCCGTTTCATTATTTGTAATATTTTATATTTTCAACTGTTTGTTTATAATTTGTAATGACTTATTTAACTGTTTTAACAAATTCAACTTAACAAATACAGAAGACGGTCCCAAGTCCCAACCCGTCCCAACACTGACTATACCTAGATTATAGCTAACTTGTACCTAGGTATATAGATTCACAGCATTGATTCACAGTATAGACTGTCCAATTCAGTTAGTTATTATATGTCCAACTTCTAATTTATTATTTTATGTGTCCAATATCCTCAACAGTCCAACGAGAACGAGAAAATCCCCGACAGTATATAGCGTCTATCATTTTAACTGTTTATGACTAAACTGTTAAATTAAAATTTATTACTTAACTTACAAGTGAAGTTTAGTTTTCTTATATCCAAATTTCAAATGTTTTCGGCGAAATACAAATATATAGCGGCAGGAAATTTTAAGAAGTTAAAAAAGTCTTAACGTTTACGCGAATAATCATATCGATAAAATTAATAAGAAATTTATGACGCCAGTTTTTCGTTCTTTCCGAAATGCGAATAAATGAAATATGAAATAGGCTTAAATTTATTTTCATTGTCATTTTTGGATATCATCAATCGAAACCTTCCCCGATTCGTTGGACATAGGACATATGTATAGATACTTTTACAATACCGTATGTTAGAAAAAAAAACGGCGGCCCGTTGGCTAGGAAATGACGATCTATGACATTTCCCATATAAATTTACATATAAAATGACAGCAATCTTCATTTCATTGCCATCGCTGACGCCGTTTTTTTTGGATCATACGGTATATGAAGTTAGTACCGTATGATCGAAAAATAAACGGAGTCTATTTTGGTTTTTGCTTGGAAACGACGATCGATGATATTCTCCATATTATTTTGATATCTCCCAATATATCTCCAATAAAATGACATCGATCTTTATTTCGTAGCCATATCGCTGACGCCGTTTTTTTTTTCGATCATACAATTTAGTCAGGTTTAGGTATGTTCTTTAAGTAAATTGTCTATTATAATGTACCGTATGATCGAATAAAAACGGCGTCAACGATGGCTATGAAATGAAGATCGCTGTCATTTTATATGTAAAATTATATGGGAAATGTCATCGATCGTCATTTCCAAGCCAACTGGACGCCGTTTTTTTTCGATCATACGGTAGTAAATTACCCACTATAGAATTATTTCAACTTGTTTAACAAGTCAATTTCTTATGAAATGGTTTCTAATTCGGTGCAAGTGCACTCAAATTTTAAGTGAATAACTGAGATGTGTGGATAACGTAAAAAAACTTTACATGTGTCACATTAATATGAATCAATAGGTATAACATTAAACTTTACTTGTTATATCTATAGACATTACACTTGACCTACACGCTTCGCAGAACTATTTCATAAAAGATAAACTAGCTTTGTACTTATTTTCTGCGTCAATTTACAATTTTCTTTGTCCTTTATTTAAAAATCGTTCAAAGTATAATTTTCATCTAATGAAATGACTCTGATAACTGTAATAAAAAAATTGCCGACCTTTACCAAGAGTACTGCGATATTGTTATTGTTACGTAGACCCATGACAAGAAAACCGCGGATGTTTTTTCCAGTACATGTGTACTCAGCTCTCAACTCTTCCCTATTCGATAGATCTGTTTCGACGTTGCCGCTGTGACTAGAAATTAATTCTTATTTATTTCCTTGGATCAGCTGGTGAGCTGATTAATAAATGTTAGAACGAAAAATAGAAATCTATAAATAAAACAAATTTTTGCAAACTTTAGAAAGATAAAATCAACTTTACAGTTTCATATTAATTCAATAATTTAATTTCCTAAAAGGTTATATTTATAGAGGAATTCTGGCAACCGCAATTTCCCTCTTTCCCTACATTCTTCGTCACAATGACCGTCCTTAAAGCTATGCGGATTGTTGCCAGATTTAATTTTTTATTTCATGGTGTAATGGATTAATTTATTATTTCATGGGTATAAGTGGAAGTTAAAAAGGGTGGAATGGATATTATAGTTATTTATGTATTTTTCAGTGGCGGCTCGTGACTCGTGTGACTGGGTAGACGACAAAATTTTAGTTGCGTCTATTTGCCCCCCCCCCCCCTCCTAAATTTACATAATACCCTAACCCAGTTCGTAAATATATGTTATCTCTGGGTTAAAAACATAACTCAAGAATATTTAGGATAAAACTAAAGCAAAAGTGACAGCATTCAACGTAATGACATAATGATTGACATAATGTACAAGTATATGTTTGTTTATCTATTATTATGGAGTTACTATGGAGTACATCATAGAATTTTATTTTATTTATTTACGCAAACTTAAAAAATTGGTAGTATTGAGAAAAAGAATAATTATGTTTTATATATTAAATGGATGCGCCGGTCTCTCGATAAAGAAAATTTATTTAATATTTTATCAGTAAAATCATCAGATTGTTGAAGAGCTGTGAAAAGATCTTTTTAGATTGAAAGTAAGGCAAGTGGCGATAAACGCTTATTTTTCATGGAATCTCTACTATAAATTTTAATGCATTTCAAATATGAAAAATGTCTCTCAACCCAAGTACTTGTAAATGGTGTAGTAACAATAAAAACCAACAATTTGAAAGCCTTTGGAAATATATTTCCAGGATTATTCTCCTTAAATTATTTTATTATCGAAATTATCATATCTATTATTAATACCTGATGCAATTTATTCATTAATTTTTGTTAGTCAATAAAATTTTATGTTTGTTAAATCAATATTAAATGCGTTGGAAATGTATCAATATAACAAGTTTGTTAAATCAGATATTAAATGCGTTGGAAATTTTTATAGGATTCTTTAAATTTCGGAGATTTATTAGGATAAATAAAAATAATTGAGACATATGAGTAAATATCTCCAAATTTTATTTCTAATGTATAACAATGTTATCTAATATTTCATAAAATAGGTAACATTTATTAACATATGGAATTAATTAGCACACTGAGACGTTTCTGTTGTATAACATTTGTTGTATCGTCTTCTTGCACCGAATAACGCGCTCTTTTATTTCGGATTCTTTTATTTCTGTGGCGTGTTCTGAAATACAACCGGTTATATCATTTTAAATAACGTTTCCAATTTGTTTTAAACGTTTTTTGAATTTTCATATAACAGTTTTAAATGCTATGAATAATGTATAATGAATCATATGAAATATCCCCTTAACGAAATGTGATATATCCCCTTATAAAATATCGGGTATATCCACTTAACTTCTAAGCCTACCGAGCCTCCACGACTTCGTGCGAACGCGACCGGCGATTTCGCCTAAGCCCCGCCTTAATACGATACAACTCCGACTTACGTCGCGTCGCTACCGCACGATGAGTTAGTCAGAGACAGAAGACTACCGTACGTCGTGCATCGACTCTGATAGTAGGCGGTAGGCGATGTAGAAATCGCCGAAGTATGGTGTTTGTTCCAACGGTCAAAATTATTTTATTAGTTTTCTAACGCAGCGGACGCCAGTGGTAGTGAATATATTAATATACAAGACCACAAATATTAAGTTAGTTCGGGACCTAACCAATGTCTAAGAGATGGCGCCTTTCTCAATTCAGAACTACATTGTTCAGAACGTCATCGGTTTTTGTAGAACCATCTGTTTTAAAAAAACTAAAGTGTTCTCGAATAGTTGCATTTAGATATTTTAAATAGTTTTTTCTTTGTTCTTTGTATTTTTTTGCTTCCGACGACGGAAAGATACGTATTAGTTTCCGAAACGTTAAGCATTTTTTTGTCTATCTTCTACATATATAAAATGCTAATGTTTATCTGTGTCGTCTCTACTGAAGTAACGACTTGCTCTAGAAAGTTGCTTTTTTTACTAAAAGATATCTAATTGGCTCTGCTAAAAACTGTTGTCGCCGAATATTTTGTTTTTCATTTAAAAATTAAATTATTTAAAAAAAAAAGATTATTTTTTCCTGATGTCGTGGCGGATGCGCCAGGCTTCAACTAGTTGGCAAATTTGTTTATTGGTAAACCACCGCTGACAATTATGACAATTACTCTCCGTTGGATTAATGCAGCATCAGTGTTAAGCACATAAAATAACTATTTTGTTTTGTAGATTTTCTTACAGTGGTAAATTTTTTGGAGAGATGAATCCACCACAGAGGTATAGACATTTTCTACCTTGACAATATTATGTTTTATTTAATGTCTCACTTAAATTATCAAAAAATATTGATATAATAAGTTTTTGTACAAACCTAATGTTACTACAAAATAATCCTTGTTCTAACTGCAAAAAATGTCGATTCGGCAACGCCGCCAACATATACCTTACGTCGTTCAACTCCGCTCGACGGACCGTCTGATTTCTGCTAATGCTGCTAAAAACAAAGAATTCATCGACAGGAACGGCAGAAAGGGATCCGCAGTCGTTGTGATTGTGACTCATTCGTGCAGGACGTAATTCTCAGCGGTCGTGTGGTGTTCGTTCAGTGTTTTGTGCCAACGCCATGCCAATCCTGCTAGACGTTATACCAGTCTATTGTTCCTGGTAAGATTGTAAATTTGACGTTAAGGGGGATGCTAGGGAAATTTCAAGTTACGTTCTAAACGATGGGATTATTTTTTACATTTTGCATACTTAAATCCTGCTAAATCTTTACTGACATTATATTCTTCTGTCTCTGGTTGAACTGATTTAAAAAGAATCTTCTGTCTGTTTATTCAATTAAACAAAACCAATTTCTTTGGTGTTCTATTTTCGGGTAAATTTTATGTAAATATTTAAATTTATGAGCATGCTAACGATAGAATTAAGGAGAGTAGAAATAAATAAATATAGGTACCTAGGTACGTGAAAGAAAATTATAAACAGCTTGTAATTTTATAATTTTGAGAGTGATTTATAGGAACTTGTCGCAGATATATTAAAAATAAAACTAGGTAGGTATAAAAGTGATACCTAGGTTTAGATCTAATTCAAATATAAATACCGCAACATAAAAAAGATCACTGATTCATACATTACACTACAATACAATTTTACTAGAGAGAGATTATTGTTTATTTTCAAAACAATTAGAACGTAAATGTTTTGATAACAATTTTATTGGCCCATATTTATAAATAAAATAAAAAAAGTAATATTTGTATGTAAGTTCGTAGAGGGAAAACATATGGGTACCTATGCGATCTTTTTTTAATTAAGTGGATAACAATAAATAATAAATATAATTTTTAGTTGTACCTAATAACATTCAATCAACATACCTACACCGTCAGTCAATGCACTCAATGTAGTAATAAATAAAAAATATAACCGATAATACCTATAACATTAAAATAAAAATTACAATAAACTATATTTCTTAAATAGTATGATTCTATGTAAATAACGTTATTGTAATAGCTATTACTTGGTTAATATTTTCATTGTTTTAATTGCTTATTGAGAACATTTAATAATGATCTCATCATTCAATCATTATATACAAGGATTATAGGTATATGTACCTGCTACTTGTATAGTTTATTAAAATTTAATGAAATTAATTTTCAAACTGCGTTTATTTTAATAATAATATAATAAGGTAAATATAACTATATAAGTTGTAAGATCTCGTAATGATATAATAAAAATACAACAACCTGTAACAATAAAAGAATAATGAATATTTCATATTGTTCCAGATTTCGTAAGGTATTTAATTCCCATCATATTTTATGTCATATACAGGGTTGTTCACCACATACGACACGGAGTATTGTAGCTAAACGATTAGATTTTTACAAATTGGGTTCGTTGAAGGACTATTAGAGCTACAATTTAAACACCCTGTATATTTTACGCGAATCAGATGCACAATTTAATTGTCTATCAAATTCTATTATACTATTTTTTACCTATCTCTACAAATTTTCGTAGAAAATGCATTTTCTTATAATTTAGACCTCATTTATCACTATACCCATGGAATATTGACTTTTTAGATTTTTTTAGAGCAACATATGTAGAAAATGTACTGGTGGCAAAAATAATAATATTGCAAGCCCATTTGTTTACAAAAAGAAAACTGTTTAAATCTTTGTAAAAGAGTATACCATTTATTCCTATCTAATTATTAAAATACGACCATTATTTCCGCCCAAAAATTAGTTAATTACATACTTAATTGTTTTAGTTAATAAATTATTCTAAGTAAATGTGGATGTGACTCAGAAATCAATACCTTATAAGTTATGAAAATTAACGTCTCTGTTGTTATAAATAAGCATTCCTCAAAAAATGAAATAATATTTATAAGGTGTTACTTTTTACCACACTCTAATACACATACAAAATTCAGTTTTTTAGTATTTGGGGCAATTATTATTATTAATCAATGCAGTCAATTAATGTAGTTTGAATACTGAAATCATATAAATTGGTTCTCTTTAAAATTACGTATTTAAACTGCTGTTTATCTTTTAATGAAATCGAACTATATCGACAATATTTGTATCTGTATTCTTTGTAAATTTGTTACATCATTAAAAAAAATTAAAATGTCAATATTCCATGGGTATAGTGATAAATGTATAATGTATGTATGTATAGTGATAAATGTATGTATGTATATTAATAAAGTGCTAAATTATATGAAAATGCATTTTCTTCGAAAACTTGAAGAGATAAAAAAAAAAGATAAAAAAAAAATTACTTAAAGATGGTATAATACAATTTGATAGACAATTAAATTGTGCATCTGATTCTCGTAAAACATACAGGGTGTTTCATTTAAAATAAACAAGTTATTGCCGTTTAAAGCTAGTAATTATTTAAAATAAATTTTTAGACGCTTTGTATAAGATAGTATTTTGCTTATTATTGCAACAGAATATCTGATCAATAAATAAACTTCAGTAAATATTTAGTTTTACAAACTTCGATACCGTTGGAGAAATGAAGCCGTAAAATTTTTCTAAAGAATTTTTTTTCTTAGAATCTAAAAATAAAATAATATACAGGTTGTTCCATTAAAAAAAATAGAACTATAACATTTTTTAATTATTTGGGACAATCCAATTGATTCTTGGTCTAAATCTATTGGTATACCAAATTTCATTTAAATCGGACGATTTTTTCGCCATTGATGATGGGGTTTCATAGTGCACGAAACGTCGTCAAATTATCATGAAACCCCATTTACATTCCGAGTTTCAGCCCCCTAGCTCAGATAGGGCCCGTGTTACGACGCTCAAAAGACCCATCTCAACTTCCTCATTGACTTAGTACTACTTTTTCGAACGTTACCACTTTTCGTGACGCGTGTCGTGGCGCTAACTCGTGTGTAACGGCCTTGAATTCTCCACTCCCAGCGCGCTTAAAGAAGTTTCACTTCAAAAACAGATACACGTCCATTTAAAACTGAAGATTTCACAAAATGCGATCTTCTTTTTTTGCCATTTACTTCTTGTTTTGTGGTTTTATAGTCTTGAGTTCGTGGTTCATTATACGTTTAGCAATAAAGACCACTTAAAACAGTTTATAGCTGGTCTTAGGTTATTGTCCTACACCAACAAAAAATAGTTTTTGCTGCTTGATGAATCAGATGAAAGTGATTTTATAAAAATTTGACCTTGTAGTGCGTTCAACTTTAGGACAATAAAAATTATTACCTTGCATTTGTTTAAATAATAACAATGAAAATACATATAAGTATAAATAACAGGTATTATAAAAAGATTAATGATTTTTTTTAAACAACAGTTATTTTGTCAACGGGACCCATTATTATTAACAGTTATATTTGTTTAATAAGAATACTGTGTGTGCGTCAAAAAGTCAAAAATTATTACAGAATATTTAATTTAACGGGTTTTTAGAAAAAAAAAACAATTTGAAAATATAACAGGTGGTAAAATCTACATATACATATGCTAATGTTTATCTGTGTCGTCTCTACTGATGTAACGACTAGCTCTAGAAAGTTGCTTTTTTTTACTAAAAGATGGCTAATTGGCTCTTATAAAAACTGTCGCCGTTTTTGTTTTTCATTTAATTAAAAAAAAATAAAAAGTATTGTTTTTCCTGATGTGGCGGATGCGTCAGACTTCAACTAGTTATTAAAAAAGAAATAAAACTTTTATTAATTCTACCAGGTGCGTCTCAAAAGTTGCTCACACCTATAAATTTTTCATTTTTTTCAGATAAAAAAACGAGATTTGGTATGTTCGTATATGACATAAATTAGGATTGGTTGACGTATTCAGTTGTTTTCGGTCACTTCCTGTTTCGCCGGAAATGACTACAACTTTTGGTTTTTAAATGGCACCCTCGGTATTTTTTTACTTTATTCAATAGAAAATGACACTCTGAATAGAGTGACATATGATACAGGGTGGGCCACTGAAAACTTACAATGGCTATAATTTTTAAACCAAAAAAGATATCAAAAAAATTAAAAATACCGTTTCTATAATATCTACTACAATATATAATAAAGGGGGAATACATATGACGTGTTTTTTGAACCACCCCGACCTACCCCTAAGGCGGCACCACTACTCACTTGAAAATCTTAAATGGCAACACCCCACTTGTGGCGCCTTTTTGGAAAGCCCATGAAAAATGCTAAACGATGATCATAAAGTTTTTAGGGTGAAATTGAAAAACTACCCCTTACACGAAAAATTAGGTGGACATTAATGAGAAAAGTGATTTTTTCAGCATAAGTTCCAAATTGGGACCCAGCTAAATGAGGTTTTTTTCAAACTACCCCGACCCACCCCTAGGTGTCACCCCCTCACTTCTAACCTCAAGATAGCGGTACCCCACTTGTGACACCTTTTTGGAAAGACACCATAAAAAAGAACGAAAAAAATAGAGCCTAAAAATAAAACAAAAATGTCAAAACGTGTCAAAATCAATAGAATGAATTATTTTTGTATCCATGAACCATTGCGAGAAAAAAAGCTGGCACAAAGAAATTTACTATAACTCTTAATGAAGACCTCATACACTTTCAGCAAGATGGAGCCCCTTCGCATTATTCTATTGTCACAAGGCGTTGGTTGGATAAATATTATCCAAGGCAATGGATTGGCAGAAGGGGTCTAATCGAGTGGCCGCCAAGGTAACCTGATCTCACTTCTTTAGACTTTTCCTTGTGGGGTTACACTAAATCCATAGTCTAGAAGACAAAATCAGGTTCGTTGCAAGAATTGCGGCAGAGGAGAACTGAAGCATGTCGAAATATTCCGAGAGAGACTTTCCAAAAAGTGAGAGAAGAATTTGAAAATCGTTTGTTTTTTGTATGGAACAAAACGGCTGTCAGCAATTATTAAAATAAATTATCATTTTAAATTTCTTTCAAATTGTCACACCTACATTTCTTGTCACTAACCAGTAATTAAGTTGAAGTCTGTATGACCATCGTTTAGCAATTTCAATTAGCTTTCCAAAGAAGTGTCACAAGTGGGGTATCGCTATCTTGAGATTAGAAGTGAGGGGGTGCCACCTAGGGGTGGGTTGGGGTGGTTTGAAAAATACTTCATTTGCGTCATTTAGCT